TCTTTAGTTCTTCAAACAACTTCGGGTTTTTTTCTATCTTGAAAAAGGTTTCCATTTGTCTCCACAATGCCCTTTAGCTACAGTTCTTTAGATTTCCTTCCCTGCCAAACTTTCAAATGAGCATCTGAGGAAATTGCCTCTATTTTCTCTCTTTTTACTTTTTGCTTAACCACTGACAATTTGGGTACCGTTGTCACACTTTAGTCAAACAGCTCTCAAGTTCCCACTAACAACCTTCTTATTACACAATGTAGAGGTGATTTTTTCTGTTCTCTTGTCATTTATGCTACCACTGAGTGCCTTGACAACGTTTTCTTTCTGAAAATTGTATCTTGAGTAATTGAATTCTTAGAACTTTAACACTGAAAGAGACATTGAGTCCAACTCTCATTTTATGTCTGGGGGAAACTGAGGCCTAAAAAGTTGGAATGATTTGCCCAGAAAGGTCCAAAATTATAAAATCTGAGCACTGAATTCAGGGCATCTGACCCATCCTCCATGGTAGATTCTGATCCACCATAAGAACTGCTTTTGGTAAGTCTTGATTCAAACCCTTCAAAATATTCCTGACTTTTATATCTTTCGGTTTAAAGACTTTCCAGCTAGTCTCCTAGCTCCTTCCTTCCACAGCCCATTCTCCATTGCAGCAGTCTGGATGATGTTTCTAAAACATAAATCAGAACCTACCACTCCCCTGCTTGTAGCCTTCAGTTCCTCTTTAGTGCACTTAGAATAAAATCCAAAATTCTTCCTGTGCCTTGCAAGACCCCCTATGGTCCAGCTCTCTTTCTGATCTCATTTCCTGCCAGCCTTCCTCTTGTAGTCACTGTGTTCCACCACAGAGTCTCCCTCAGCTGGCCAGCAAGGCAGGCCTTGGCCCCGCCATGAGCATTTGCTTTGCTCGTCTTTCTGCTGGGAATGCTCTTCCCCAGACCACTGCTGCTTCCTCCTCATCATTTGGCCTTTGCTCAAATGGCCACCTCCTTACTCGACCTCACTCTGTTGTCACCACATCTAACATCGTCCCTAACCATCCCACTCTCCATCACATTGTGTTGTTTTCTTCATAGCATTTGCCACCAGCTATTATTACATTATATTACTTACAGTTTTAATTTGGAGCGTGTCATGTTTCTCAGCATTAGAATACAATTTCATGGAATATAGGAACTTTGTCTTGTTTTCCATATTCCAGCAAATGGCCAGTAGATCAGCAAATGGCCAGTAGTGAGTGTTTAACAAAACATTCGTTGGATGAACAAATGAATGAATTGTGTCTGAATTTTTGTCTCATTTCCAATCATCTTCTCCCTCCTTTTCTCCCCAATTCTATTATTCAATTATTCTCTCAAAAAGTTTTTCTCTACCATAATCAAACTGATTTCCTCATAAACCTGTAAGGACAAAACTTATTATTGACTAGGAGCCTTTAAAAATTTTCTCTGACCAAACACCCACCCTATGCCTCTCTAATTATTTAAGTTGTATCACTGTGTTAACGTATGAGTCACATTCAGTTTCCATGGAATCACGTCTCACAGCTTGCATTGACTGCCCTTTCTTCAAGTTATGTAAAGTGACCCTTACATATGTAATCTAAATACTCATACGTAATCCATATTGTCTTTAATTATTTCCACATCATAATACTTGGGCACTGTGTCTAGGTACACGTGTGTGTGTGTGTGTGTGTGTGTGTGTGTTTGTAGGGTAGGGTAGTGGCTCATTATTTGCAGATTCGGCATTTGCAAATTGCCTACTCGCAAAAATTTATTTGCAACCTGAAAACCAATACTTATGTCACTTTTGTGGTCATTCATGAACATACCTGGAACGGTGAAAAATTTGTCACCCCAGCTTCACACTACTAGCTGAGACGGAGCAAGGCAGCACTGTGCCTTCTTGTTTTAGCTTTCATGCAATAAACAAGTGACCTGTTTGTGGTCTATTTAGTGGCATGTTTTTTTGCATTTTGTGCTTTTTGTGGGTGATTTCACTGTTTGAAATGGCCCCAAGTGTAGTAGCGAAGCACTGTCTGCTATTCCTAACCACACACAGGCTGCGATGTGCTTAACAGAGAAAACACCTGTGTGTTAGATAAGCTTCCTTCAAGCATGACTTGCAGTGCTATTAGCTGTTAGTTCAGTGTCAATGGATCAACAGTATATGTTAAATGTAAGGTGTCTTTAAATAGAAATACACATCAAACAAGATTATATAATGGCTGGTTAATGAAAATGTGACCAGAGGCTCACAAGAACCTAACTCTATTTTCCCTCAGAATAATAATTTTACATTTCCTGAGTTGGTGTTCTGTTCATGAACATTTTATAGAACATAACCACTGTGAATAACAATACTTCACTAGATGGCGTGTGAGTATATGTATGTTGGCATTAGCCTCATTAGGAGTTTAGGAGACAAAGACATCAAGACTTATTGAAATTAAGAAGTTTGTCCAAGGCCGGGCACAGTGGCTCACACCTGTAATCCCAGCACTTTGGAAGACCAAGGTGAGTGGATCACCTGAGGTCGGGAGTTCGAGACCAGCCTGGCCAGCCTGGTGAAACCCCATCTCTACTAAAAATACAAAAATTAGCTGGGTGTGGTGGCAGGCACCTGTAATCCCAGCTATTTGGGAGGCTGAGGCAGGAGAACCACTTGAACCCAGAAGTCAGGGGTTGCAGTGAGCTGAGATCCCGCCATTGCACTCCAGCCTGGGCATCAGAGCAAGACTCCGTCTCAAAAAAAAAAAAAAAAAAAAAAAAAAAAAAAAAAAAAAAAAAAAAAAAAAAAAAAAAAAAACTGTCCAAGATTATTTGCCAAACTGCTAAATAAATGGTAGACCTGGAATCTGATGTCTCATTCCAAAGTCTTTTGGCTTTCCATTTACCGCACCAGTGGCTTTGCTTTTCTTTGTTTTAATTAGCTATTGAGCTCTTATTTTTACAAGCTCCACACACACACATACACACACACATAGAGTCATGCATCTCATAAAGACATGGGTCAATGACAGGCCACATGTGTGATGATGGTCCCATAAGATTATACCATGTTTGTACTGTACCTTTTCTCTGTTTAGATATATTTGGATACACAAATACCTGCCATTGTGTTACAGTTGCCTACAGCACTCAGTACAGTAACATGATATAAAGGTTTCTAACCTAGGTACCATATATCCTGGGTGTGTAGTAGGCTGTACCATCTAGGTTTGTATAAATACACTCTATGATGTTTACGCAATGATGAAATCTTCTAAGGGTACATTTCTCAGAAGTTATCCCTGTCATTAAGCAATGTGTGACTGTGTATGTGTGTATGTATGTATGTGTGTGTGTACATATATATATACACGTATGTCTATAAAATATAAGTGGAATATGCTGAATGATGAATGAAAAACTAGATACAGAAAGTAAAATGAAGACAATTTTAAAACAGCTTGCTTCATCAACCCAGGATAGCATTTACTTACAGTCATCCCAAACCACAAAAGAGAAGTAAAAGTACCTCTTTGTTTAGTAACAATATCTGCAAAGTTCAGATTCCTTATCGTGGGAAGTGGAAGTCTGACAGGTGGCCAAACCCTGAAAAATCAAAGTTATAAAAATGCTGCCATGACCTGGATTTGTTTCCTGGCCTGTGGATGTGCATCTTAAACTTGTCTGGCATTTATTTGAGCTGAACTCATACCTGCACATGGTATGCAGCTGGGCATGCTTGAGCCTGATTTCATAAAGATCTACAACCTTTCTAATCAATTATGCACTTATATATACAGAGATGACAGGAGAAATTGTATCCTAAAATCTGTATGTAACAGTTTAACATGGATGAGTTTACTGACTTGTGGTCTCAAGTGATTTATATATATACATATGTACACTGATACATACACATTAAGACATATTTTTACATCGTAATTTGTTTTCAAAAAATAAATATTTTTGGAACCATTAAAGCACCTTGATGAACACAGTTTGAAAACCCTGTTGTTGTTGTTGTTGTTTTCTTCTTCTATGCTCTTTTCTAAGTAGATTGTATAAGCTCCTTGAGGGTAAGAATAATATCTTTTGTGCTTCTGTATTTGCAAATTGATCTTAGCTTAGTACTAAAATATAGAGAAGTCTCCTACAACTGATAATCCAGTTTTGCCCAGATGGTTGACAACCACCTACATTAAAACAAATATTAAGGCAGCGTTATGTTTAGAATTAAATGGTGGAATCGAAGGATGTCATTTAGTGTGTGGAGCAAGAGTCTCCATGCACAAAATGGATGGACTTTTTCATATAATAATCTCTCTTGATACTTCTTTTTCCCTTGAAAAACAAGGGCCAGTCATAAGGCTTAATACTTCCTCAACTTTCAAAAAAGCTTCCAGGGTCAAGATTGAGTGAGGGGCTTCCAACAGTAAGGCAAGACAAAATTACTCTTTACGTCTGCCTCAAGGTCAAAGTACAAAACACTGAATGAACAGTGTTACAGAAAGGGACTAAGTGGTCCTTAAAAGTCGTGTCATTATTTTGCTGTAAGAATTAATTGGTGTGAGCTTTGAATTCTGAAATCTCTATTATTTTGTGATATTTTGTATTCTTTTAATTAAATGGCTGCATATCCAGCGACTTTAATGATCCTGTTTTGAGGAGCTATGCCTTTCACAAATCAAGGTATCAAAGTCAATGTATTTTTCCACAGTTTATAGTATAGCTGAGTTTCATTGTGCAGATAAAATTGGATTAACCACATGACTCTACCTATGGCTTTGCGGGCTCGGTCAGTTCTCCAACTGTGCAAAGGAAATCTGCATTCAGAGGTGGTGACCCAATGGCTTTGTCCTTTCAGGGTTCAGTAAAAATATCTACTTCATGTTTTAAAATAAGTCCCTCTTGGAATTTGTTTAGCAAACTCCTAGCCCCAGAAGAATGCACAGGCAGGAGGATGATTCTGGCCTTTTCAGCCTCACACTCATGCTTAATTCTTTCTTGCTTCAGGAAAAGCTGTCAGAGGAAGACAGAAAACATAAGGAAGCTTTGGAAGATCTTCACATGGTGGTTGATGAGGATTCAAGGAGTGAAAGCAGCAGTACAGATGAGGGAAAAGAAAAGACCAAATTGCTATTAGAGAGATTGAAAGCTCTAGAGGTAAGAAACAAAGTAATTTTTACGCTCTAGAGGTAAGAAACAAAGTAATTTTTACACTCGTCAAGAAAAATAAGTCTTCCGTTTCTTTTATTGGCACTGATTTTGAGTGAGTATAAATCTTCCCTTTTCAGTTCTCCCAGACGAATACGATCTATGATTTTCTACTAAGATTTTTTTGTCTACAATGAGCAAAAAGTTAGCACTGAAAGGGTCTTAACCTTATGTTGTTTTAAAAGGAGTGCATAGGGTAGCCATTGATTTGTAACTTAAATTCAGCCCTCAAACTGTATTAGTTTCTAAAATTGCAAGCTCCTTGTGGGAAGGGGCTAGGTGATATTTCACTTTGTTTTCCCCAGTAACTGGCAAAATGAATGAATGAATGAATGAGCAAAATATTTAATAGTATGTAAAATTATTACACACACACACAGAGATTTTAAGCAGTATAGTCATCTCTTAAAACAAACAAACAAACAAACAAACGTGTAGGAATTCAATGTGTAAAGCATCTAACAGTGGAGCTGAAACTGGCTAAGGAGACTTGAGATTTTTGGAGCACCAATGTCCTCCAGATGCCTCCAGACCGGTATTTGATAACACTCGTCTATTACTTAGTGGCATTTGACATTATTTCAAGTGTTAATTCATGAATTTTTATAGCAGTCATCAAAGACCATTCCAGTTACTAGTTCCTGATTGAAATGTCACATACTTAAGGACTCAGCCAAGATTTTTTTTTCTATGAGTTCACTTACCTCCTTTTGATAAGCTTATGAAAGGCCTTCACTCAACATCTAAATATGCAGTTCTACCATAGAGTCTATAGAATCCTGAAAACTCTGCTAGTATAGAGGAAGAAGACCTAGAGAGGCCTCATTTTCTATGCTTTGTTTCTGCAATTCTACCTTGGATCTACCACATTGTCTATAGTGAGCATGTCCATTTTACACTAATTTCTTCAGCGATAATAAAGCAGAATGGTGAGATTATGTACTTGGAGCTCAATTCTTGGGGTTTGATTCAAATCCCTTTTCTACCACTTTCTAGCTTTGAAACCATCAAAGCTCCCTGAGCTTCTGTTCCCTCAGCTGAAATCATGGGAATAGTAATAGTAACTAGCCTTACAGGGAAGTAATGAGGATTACTTGAGTAATTATTTTTAAAATGATGCCTGTGCATAGTCTCTTTTATTCATCCACACCAAACCTGCACCTTTTTCTTAATTTTCTTCCTACTTATCTGGGTACAATGATTAATGATATAAGGACTGTGAATGAAAGATGTTGGCTACTCTACAAAGGTGTGACTGAAGGCAGACAGATAAGCAAGTGACTTCAAACACAGTGCAAAAGAAAGGCCAACTGAAGGAATCACTGGCAACTCCCTCTGGGCAAAGAGCTAGGAATCACCCTTGTCTCCCCATGGGTTTTTATTCATTTGTCATTTTCTGAAGACAGTCACTGTAAAACATAGGAAAGCTTCTCAAGGGAAACTGAGGTTCCTACTTGGGTTTTAAGAAACTTATAGCTTTGTCTTGAGGTTGAATTAACTAGATTCACAATAGGAAACAGTTGATATTACCATTTCTTGATCCCATAGGACCATGTACTTAAATTGTTAGGTTTTTGTTTATAGCTACAGAGAAAATTAATCTTAGTTCATGTCATTGTTAGAGACAACAATGTAAAGGACATTTTACTTAATCAAGCTAAGAGGTCTTTAAAAAAATATATGGCAGCAAATGTTTCTTAAACTGTAGTGAGTAAAAGAGAAGCAGTACTTATTTTTCCATCAACAGAGTCCTTTACACCTCAGACAACCACTCTTGATTCCAGCATTAGTTGGATGCAATAGATGATCTAGAAGTGCCATTAAGCCCCACTATTTTAATTCATAAAACTCTTTTATTTTTTAATTTCCTGTAGTCATAGTGCCACTGCTTGTTTCCTAAAATTCTTTGTTCAATATTAAGTGAACTTTCTTCTAGCCTTCACATCTTACTATCTTCTATTTGAATAGGTAATAAGATTATTTTATTTTATAACATAAAGTATATAAAATAAGAAATACAAATATATGTTTGTAAATATATATAAATATATTTTCTTACATAATATATAGATGTCTTTTTGTCATACATGTAATTCATTTTCATATGAATTTTATGTGCTACTTAAATTTTTTCATTTTAAAACAATTTGCTCCATATTCTCAGTGTCTAGGATCTTTTGCATGGGTTAAACATTGTTGTGGGAAAATGGAGGACTGATTTTGACAGTCTACAGTCAGAGCTGGTCATAGATCCCATATGGATTTATATGCTTTAACAAAATGCTTCCTTGGAAAGCTGCAGTGGAATTCATTATAATGTGTCAAAAATTACTTTGGCAAAATCTGATGTACAGCAAGATTTTAAAAACACAAAGAATATTTTCCATCAGCATATTTTTGGAAGGCAGCTATGCTCACCAATACTCTACCAGCACCCCATCAGTGTATTTTTAAAATGACCATATTTGTATACCCTAATCTCTTGGCCCCTGGTGTTGAAGGTCACAGAAAGAAACGATTGTCAGGATGGTAGAAAGCAGTCTTCTTTCATTCCTGATCCCCCAGCAGTTTCCAAGAAGGTGTGGAAAACAAAATGCAGAGATGACTCCTACATTCCATTCTTGATTACTGTGACAATGATATTCAAAAACAGCTTGAAGAGCCCCTGACTTTGAAAATTAATATTGTCTAAGCAAATCACCCCTGGATTATCCCCTCATGTGACCATTCCTGGAGTAGGTTCCTACTCACATTCATCAATCAATTCCTCTTTCTTCTCTATGCACCAACCTCCTATGAACTATCAAGAAGATGAGCTCAGAGAGGTAGACGAGGTCCAGAACCTATTAAGCCTTATAGGTCATGGCCACAATAAACACTTAGAAATCAGAGACCCCTTTACTTGACTTTTCCAAAATCCAACCCTAGGAAGGATATGGGGTCATGGCAGAATACTCTGGAGGCGAAGGGCCTTCAAGTCTGTCTTTTGATAGTTCTTTTTCCTCTCAGTCCTTTGGTTGCAGCGCATTTCTCAGTAGCCTTTCTCCTCAGTTCCCAGATCCCGCCTTAGAACGTGGCCAGCTCTGTACCACTTACTCTCCTCTCCCTCAGCCACCTTCTCCCACAGCCAAGTTCTGTCTTTTTTTTTTTTTTTTTTTTTTTTTGGTGGAGCCATCTAGGTCTCTGCATGCCATGTCATGGGCTCATTCCATACCACCCCCATGCTTGGCAAAGTATTTTGCTAATTAAGACGTTTACCTTCCTGAAAACACCTCCGGTGCCAAGAATCAAAATTATAAAAATTATAAGTATACACACACATTCTGTCCTTTCAGCCTTGTGTTCTCTACTGAGTGCATTGGTTTCAGCTGTTTCCAGCTCTTCATAGTGAAGAGTAGACCATCTACCCGCATACCTAGCCACTGGATCCCCTGCGCTTAAATTCTAATTTGTGTTTAGGGTCCTGGTGCCTGGAGGAGAAATGGTTTGGTGTACATTTGTGTCATAGGGACACATGAACAATCTAGATGCCACTTGCACATTTTATGTAACTTCTCAGTGCCTGAGGGTAGCATTTTCTATGTTTTTTTAAAAAATTTGGGTTTTCCCTAGAAGAAAACCTAGGCAAAACCATTCAGGACATAGGCATAGGCAAGGACTTCATGATTAACACAAAAAGCATTGGAAACAAAAGCTAATATAGACAAATGGGATTTAATTAAACTCCAGGGCTTCTGCACAGCAAAAGAAACAATCATTAGAGTGAACTGGCAAGCAACAGAATGGGAAAAAAATTTTACAATCTACCCATCTGACAAAGGGCTAATATCCAGAATCTACAAAGAACTAAAACAGGTAAGAAAAAAATCAAACAAACCCATTCAAAAGTGGGCGAAGGATATGAACAGACACTTTACAAAAGAAGATATACATGAGGCCAACAAACATATGAAAAAATGCTCATCATCACTGGTTGTTAGAGAAATGCAAATCAAAACCACATTAAGATACCATCTCATGCCAGTTAGAATGGCGATCATTAAAAGTCAGGAGACAACAGATGCTGGAGAGGATGTGGAGAAATAGGAACACTTTTACACTGTTGGTGGGAGTGTAAATTAGTTCACCCATTGTGGAAGACAGTGTGGTGATTCCTCAAGGACCTAGAAATAGAAATTCCATTTGATCCAGCAATCCTATTACTGGGTATATATCCAAAGGATTATAAATCATTCTATTATAAAGATACATGCACACGTATGTTCATTGCGGCACTGTTTACAATAGCAAAGACCTGGAACCAACCCAAATGCCCATTGATGATAGACTGGACAAGGAAAATGTGGCATATATACACCGTGGAATACTATGCAGCCATCAAAAACGATGAGCGTGTGTCCTTTGTAGGGACATGGGTGAATCTGGAAACCATCATTCTCAGCAAAATGACGCAAGAACAGAAAAACAAATACTGCATGTTCTCACTCATAGGTGGGTGTTGAACAATGAGAACACATGGATGCAAGGAGGGGGCATCATACACTGGGCTGTGTTGGGGGGGACTAAGGGAGGGACAGGGGTGGTGGGGAGGTTGGGGAAGGATAACATGGGGAGAAATGCCACATATAGGTGACAGGGGCATGGAGGCAGTAAACTACCTTGCCGTGTATGTACCTATGCAACAATCCTGCATGATCTGCACATGTACCCCAGAACCTAAAGTACAATAAAAAAGAAAAGTGGCTTTTTAAAGCCTGCTGTTTCAGAGACTGCTTACCTGACTTAGAACAAAGCTCACCATTCTCAACTGGACTGCCACATCTCCAGTTGCTTTTGTAAGGATCACTGCTCTCTCCCACCCCACCAGAGACCACTGATTCAAGAGATCTTCCCGACTTGCTCTCCAGAATCCATTGGCTTCACCTGAAGTTTTCCCTGTTCCCTATTGC